AACAAAGTGAACTGAGTAGGTTAGCTGATTACCTTAAAAATCCATAGATATATCATAGTTAGTTCTTACGGCCGTTAACACTTTCTCTGACAAGCGGATGCAATGAGACTCGTTTTCCGGTTTGGTCACGTGGCGCTCGGCATAAAGCCTATTCAGAGGCATACTTGTCTTCCTGTTTCCTTCCGAATGCCTGTGTTCTAGTCACCTGTTTGTTACCATGGTTACTGGTTATGTTGTGCACCTGTGTCTTGTTATCCTGTGTATATGTGCCCTCGGTTTGTGCAGTCCTGTGCTGTTAGCCGTTGCGTCTTTTACCGTCTTTCTCTTTATTGTGAATGAAGTTATTGAGCTGCAAATAGATCGTAATCTCCGCTTACGTGCCTGTGGGCTGTGCTGACAATATCAATTTATTTTATTTTTATCAATCTTCATTTTGATGAACCGATATTGATTCATAAATCCCAAGAATCGGTCTTTCAGTCTGTGCTGTTTTCAGGAGATGCGTGAACAAAACTTCACTACACATCATCTGCAGCTCCTGCCGTCCAATTACAGCGGTAAGCTTTGATACTTCTGATGTGAAACACAGTCTCAGCTTTCAAATCCTGTCAGTTTCATCACTAAATTCAGTCCATAAATGTGTGTGTGCCAGAAGAACCGATCATCTCTTCCTCTTTACTACTAGTTACAGCAGCAAATAAGCATCAGTGGACATGTGCAGGAATGGAACATCTGAATATGACACACGTGGAAGCTCACTCACGCTCTGGAGGTGGAGGTGTTCAGGAGTGTGAATCTTACTATGGCTTGCTCGAACAGTTCCCGCATCTTCTGCTCCGACTCTCCAGAGACTCCAGACACCAGCTCCGGCGCAGAGACCTTCAGCATGGGCAAACCCGTCTCCTACACACACACCAGAAACACTCGCTCAGCAGTGGAAAACACACACACACACACACACACAGTTACAGTGACTCACTCCGGCCACAGCTTGAGCGAGCAGTGTTTTCCCACACCCCGGCGGCCCGTGAAGGAGGAATCCCCGCGGAGGAACGACTCCGAGCCGCTGGTACACTTCCGGATGCCTCATGTGGATCAGCAGCTTACACACATCCTGAAGAACACAGGCAACCGCAGGCCGTTAGACGTCAGTGTGTGTGTGTGTGTGTGTGTGTGTGTGTGTGTGTGTGTGAGCAGTTAGACATCAGTGTGTGTGAGCAGTTAGACATCAGTGTGTGAGAGAGAGTGTGTGTGTGTGTGTGTGTGTGTGAGCAGTTAGACATCAGTGTGTGTGTGAGGAGTTAGACAGTGTGTGTGTGTGAGGAGTTAGACATCAGTGTGTGAGAGAGTGTGTGGTGTGTGTGTGTGTGTGTGAGCAGTTAGACATCAGTGTGTGTGTGAGGAGTTAGACAGTGTGTGTGTGTGAGGAGTTAGACATCAGTGTGTGAGAGAGTGTGTGGTGTGTGTGTGTGTGTGTGAGCAGTTAGACATCAGTGTGTGTGTGAGGAGTTAGACATCAGTGTGTGAGTGAGCAGTTAGACAGTGTGTGTGTGTGTGTGATCAGTTAGACATCAGTGTGTGAGTGAGCAGTTAGACAGTGTGTGTGTGTGTGTGAGCAGTTAGACATCAGTGTGTGTGTGAGCAGTTAGACAGTGTGTGTGTGTGATCAGTTAGACATCAGTGTGTGTGTGTGTGTGAGGAGTTAGACATCAGTGTGTGAGTGAGCAGTTAGACAGTGTGTGTGTGTGTGTGTGTGTGTGATCAGTTAGACATCAGTGTGTGTGTGTGTGAGCAGTTAGACATCAGTGTGTGTGTGAGCAGTTAAGACATTAGTGTGTGTGTGAGCAGTTAGACAGTGTGTGTGTGTGTGATCAGTTAGACATCAGTGTGTGTGTGAGGAGTTAGACATCAGTGTGTGAGTGAGCAGTTAGACAGTGTGTGTGTGTGTGCAGTTAGACAGTGTGTGTGTGTGTGTGTGAGAGCAGTTAGACATCAGTGTGTGTGTGTGTGTGTGTGTGTGTGTGCAGTTAGACATCAGTGTGTGTGTGTGTGCAGTTTGACATCAGTGTGTGTGTGTGAGTGTGAGCAGTTAGACATCTGTGTGTGTGTGTGTGAGCAGTTAGAGATCAGTGTGTGTGTGTGTGTGCAGTTAGACATCAGTGTGTGTGTGTGTGTGTGTGTGTGAGCAGTTAGAGATCAGTGTGTGTGTGTGTGTGTGTGTGTGTGTGTGTGCAGTTAGACATCAGTGTGTGTGTGTGTGTGTGTGTGTGTGTGTGTGTGTGTGTGTGTGTGAGCAGTTAGACATCAGTGTGTGTGTGTGTGTGTGTGTGTGTGCAGTTAGACATCAGTGTGTGAGTGTGTGTGTGTGTGAGCAGTTAGACATCAGTGTGTGAGTGTGAGTGTGTGTGAGTGTGAGCAGTTAGACATCTGTGTGTGTGTGTGTGTGAGCAGTTAGAGATCAGTGTGTGTGTGTGTGTGTGTGTGTGCAGTTAGACATCAG